ATTGAGTTTCATCGACATTTCGTGATGAGTACTTGTATGGGACAGGAACGGTAGATTTGGATATGTTTGTGTTGGATCAAACAAGGGTGGCATTGTTTTACATTTTTGGCTATCTTTGTCTGAATGAATGGTGTTCGAGGCTGGGGGGCTATTGGATCTCTATGGTTATCGAACAACAACTGGAATGATCGGGGATGGAAACATATTTCTAGCCCAGAAGGCTANTCGAGGCTGGGGGGCTATTGGATCTCTATGGTTATCGAACAACAACTGGAATGATCGGGGATGGAAACATATTTCTAGCCCAGAAGGCTATTGTTGCAGATTTGAAATTGTGCTTGGAATTATTTTCTTGTGTTTTGGAGCTACTGAAAGATCATGAAGACATGGCATAGTCACAAGCAGGGGGGCTGATAGATATGCTTGTATTAATGCCAAGTGGTTGGTACGGGATGTTCCCATGGAATGAGGTAGAGCGGAATACCGGTGACATGTGTGTATGTAGAATGGATTCCAGGGATGTACAAGCTTCCTCTGTTGTATACGGCGTCGCCCCCTCAACGGGGCTTGTGTGTGTGAATGTGGATGCAACTAATCACAACAAGTTTTTCTCCTCGGCGCGAGCCCGCCGAGTTGCCGATACCCTATTCAACGCACGTCTTGCGACAAGCTACCCCCAGTTCGGATTATCCTAACAGGTTAGGCAAGATTGCTGGACCGCCCCTCCCGTCCGACTGCTACGTCGTCCGCTTCTTGGACGGCCCAGGACCAGTCGAGCTCGTCCTTCCCGATGTACGCTACTCCGCCATCGAAACGACTATCTCCAGATGCTGGTGCATCCAAGTTCACAGTGGCAGCGCCCGCTTTAAGAGTATTTTTCGCAACATCGACATGTGTGTCGCGTGGCGGGGTCGTGAACGATTCTTCGCGTGATGAAGTCGCGCCTTCATTGAGTTGGCATGCTTGTTTTGTGCCCTCTGTTGGTTTTGGGATTGATTTTCTTTCGTGTTCTTTCGTCTCTGTGTCTTTAGCGCTTGCGGACTGTAGGTGTTGCGTACCCTTTGTTGTCGCTTACACGCTACCGTGGCGATTGTTTGGCGTTTTTAATCCTAGAGTGTCGATACAGACCTTGTCGTCGCTCCGATGATATTTTTTTCGTCGTTCCGACGATCGCTTTACGTCGTTCCGACGACGCTTGTTCTGTTCTTGATGTACGTTTTGCTTATCCCGTTCTTTTGGATTCCGACCTGTTATTGTATATGCCTGCCTTTTCTTAAGCCTCAGTCTATTCCTTTCTGTGCCTTCTTTTTTTTTGTGGTCAAACAGTGGTCTTGCGACTCATCGATTGAGAAGTGTGGGAGGAGGGTGAATTGCGTATTGAAGCTCCACATCCTCGGTACTCTCAATTGTGGATTCGATGATTGCTTGTCAAGCTCCGAGGTTTCTGCGTATGAGAACCTCCGGGTGGATTAAGATATGTAGGTGGAACAGAAAAGACAATGGTCTCTTCTTTAATGTGCGGGGAGATGTAACTCGTCGCGGACACCATTTCCACAGCCCCTGCTCAAGCGGCGGATCCGTCCCCACAGTTGTCACTCCTCTACCTTTTGCCCAAGGCAGCAGCAACAGCTGCTGTTCCACACGCGGTAATAACAAGTGGGTTCTTTTGACGGGTTGTCCAGATTGCACCACGCGTGCATACCCTTACACAAGCCTCGAACCCTAACGCAACTTCCCCTAGTGAAGGAAAAGGGCTTCCTCCGTTGAGAGACTGGGGCTACCCCCGGGCAATTAGACTAGACTATAAGACAACAGCAGCGCGTGGACTACGGGTGAGGACAACTGACCCAAAGCACTTCGGGACGTGGACATGCACCCGAGCGCGCCCATCCTCATTCTACCGTTGATTTCCTTTCAGCAGCAAAACCGGTACATGTAGCCTACGGCAAGCGGTTACGTTCCTGCAGTGCTGAAGAGAACCTGACAAGTCAGGTTTGGGCCCAGAGACTGCTTGTTGTTGTGATGTCGTCATCTTCTTGGATGGTGTCGAAGCTTACAAAAAAAGGATGTGGGGCCAGAAATTGGAGGCACTCCAACGATACGCTGCGTAGGACGCCGACATTGGGTCCACCCATTTGACGATTTGGATACTGCTGCGTACATCGATTCGTCTATGTACATGCGTCGAGCTATCCGAGTCGAGGAATTACACGCCGTGCGAGTTGGATGGAAGAGTTGTCCCAGACAACGACAACGACAAGGACAAGAGTGCACTACCCTTGCCTGACTGTGACTGCTTTCTACGGCTGCTCCCATGGCCATAAACATCAACAACAACAACAACAACAACAACAACAACAACAACAACAAGGAGTGCGACGCTTTTGCTTGGCTAAATTTGCTACCGCCGCTGTTTGCTATTGCCGTGCCCAGGACTTGCCACTTGCGGCATCTTCATGTCGGACCGCACCGGCTGATGCGTCGGCGAGGTGCCCCCAGCCATGCTCCCGGAGGTGATATATTGACCTATGGGCGAAAGAAGTGCTTTGATCGTAACATTGCTATTGTTGGTGTGGTGGTATGTGTCGGTGACTAGTCGCTGTTGTTGTTTTCTTCACCTAAGCAACCGTTCCGATCTCTCTGCCCAGTTCGTTCGTCTGTCCTTACTGATGTTTTCAACCGCCCTGAGACTGCTATCTTTACTTTTGACAGCCGGTATGCGCGGTCGATGCTAATTTTACATAATAATGGAGAAGCACACACGAATACCTGTGACGCCCCCTCACGGACCCCCCAGATCAAAGCCTTAAGACGCGTCGTCCGATTTCAGCCGAACCGCGACTGAAGTCATACGCGCGGTCGATGCCAACAATACATACACCACACATACCCATGACGCCCGTCTCTACACAGGGCCCCCAGATCATGGCAGCCCTCTGAAGCGCCGTCCGCTTTCAGCCGCTCTACGTCAATTTCATCGGGTAGCGCGGTCGATGCCAACAACAAACACGTAGTCTCCCCCTGCCGCCCCCTCACGGGGTCCCAGTTAATAGCACTTGGAACTGTTTTTGTTTTCAACCGCACTGACTGACGTCGCTTTCATTGGTAGGAAATGCCAACGACAGACACACAAACGCACGCGTGTTTCGTTCTGCATCAGGAGTACGCTCGCACGCAGAGTGCGAGGCTCGACGCCGGGGGCGCCTTCTCGTACGGCCTGGTTAAGGACACGAAGGAGGTAATCAAGTGGGGTCCGACCGAAGGCGATCCGGCCACTATCGTGATGAGCATCCCCGTCGAGCCCCTGACGGGCTTCCGGTCTATCAATACCTTCAGCGTGACTGGATGGGAGCGTGCTTGCTCGTGTTAGGAAAACCCACTCCAAATCTACCGTTCCTGTCCCATACAAGTACTCATCACGAAATGTCGATGAAACTCAATATCTCCGACGTGAAGTGCCTTCGTGAGGAAGTCAGCATGTTGATACGCCGATTCCACGTGAAAAATCGAAACTTCCTTCCTCCCTACCAGTTCCCCTTCATAAAGTGGTGCCTTTCGTCGATGTGCTTCGAGTTACTGTTGCTAATCGGGTTCTGCGCCAACTGAATAGCCCCCTGGTTATCCTCGAACACCGAAATACACGGCATACCTGCTTCTGGCAACATGAAACGCCATACCTGCCTCAGAAATAAAACTTCCTTCATTACATCCGCAAGGGAGACATACTCCGCCTCTGTCGTGCTCAACGCAACGCACTTCTGCGTCCTTGAAAACCAAGAAATACATCCCCCCCCACACATCACTAAGCCTCCTGACACAGGCCTCCTACCGGCAGCCTTCCTTGCATAGCCTGCGTCTGCGAACACCTCTATGCTCAACCTGCTACAATACCCCTCCTGAATGTAATCCCCAAGTCACTAGTCCTTACCACATAGACTACCCCAAAATACCAAGACCTGCTCTCCAATGACTTTCTTTGGGAGAAGCACAGTACCGTGCTACCGCTCTTACTGCATTTGCGATATCTGGCCTCGTTTGCGTTGCCAGCCACATCAGTGATCCGATCAGCTCACGAAAAGGCCATGGTACCACTTCCTCATCCTGGTCAAACTCTGAAAGCTTCAACCCTACAGGAAGAGGAATTTCCTTCCCGTACTCTACCCCAAACTCCATCCCCAACTCTTCAGCGTACGTCTGCTGCGAGATCTTCAAAGTCCCTGCATCCCAATCTCTCTCATAACAACATCCAGAGTACCATCTCAAGTCACCAAGATTCTTCACCGGTACCATGGTGTTGAGGTCCCGACCAAATTGGTCACACCTCTCCTCTTCTCCAATCAAAAATATGTCATCCACATGTACTACCAGAGTCACTACCACTCTTCCCTCATCGATCAACCGAAACACACACGTATCCGCCAGGCACTGAATACAACCCAAACAAATAAAACACCTCGCCAAGTGTGAATGCCATGGCCTTGATGCCTGCTGAAGGCCATACAGACTCTTGTTCAACTTCACTATCATACCTGACAATCTACCACACCCCTCTGGCAGACGCATGAAAACATCCTCGTCCAAATCCGACTGGACAAATGCTTGCTTTATGTGGAAATGACGAAGAGAAAGATTTTGCTCGCACGCCATCGCTGCCAACAAGCGAACGCTAGAAACCGCTACAGTCGGTGCATACGTCTCTCCACAATCTACATGTACTCGCTGCATATCTCCTCTCGCTACTAGCCGTTACTTCACACTAGTCGGCCATCCATACTCATCAGACTTCCAATGAAGCACCCACTTGGCCTTGATAACACTCTCTGGTCGCTACATTACTTCCTCATAGGTACCAACCTCCATAAGACCTCTGAACTCCCTCTCTCCAGAGTCTACCCACAAGTCAGCATCAGAGGACACAGCCTCCCAATACGTTTTGGGCACGCGCAGGTCGTTAGCATAGCAACGTGGCAAGTCCGGTGCCACTTGCGGGGGATTTAAATCCCTCATCGTGCGATCAATGTCCTCGCGGGAGGCAAGCAAGGTGGCGCACGCAAATGGGACTTCTTCACGTATTCCTTCTGTTTTCGTGCCCCCCCGCTCTCGCCCCCCCAGCTCCGCTCCTTCACGTCCTCCGGGCTGAACTCGGGATCTCCTTTCTCCCCCTATCGACGACGCTGCGGGGGTGAGAGTCGACAGGAGCGTTGCCTTGTCCTGCAGGGATACAAGCCCGAAGCGGTGAGCGGGAGCGTCGCCGCTCCCGCCAGGTGACGTTGACCGCTCGGCCCCCCCATCCTGGAAGTGCACCCGCCGACCCCTCAGTCTCCCTGGCACCCGCGTCTCTCGTCCCAAGTCCAGCTCTCGATCGGCCCTGGCTGAGAGGGGCGGCATTGACGACGCCCGCCCCCCCCCTTGGTCCGTAGCGGCTGCCCTCGTGCGCCCAGAAACCCTCATGTCCCCGCGCCCCACGTCCAGTTCACGGATGGTCCTCGTAGTGAGCGGCGGTATGTTGGTCGATGGTGCGGCACCGGGCGGCGCGACGGCGGGAGACGGTGGCACGACGGCGAACGGCGTTGCAGGCGGCGCGGTGGTGGTGAACGGTGGCGTGGTGGCGAGCGGCGTTGCAGGTGGCGTGGTGGAGGTTGCAGGTGGCGCGGTGGTGGTAAACGGAGGCGTTGCAGGCGGCGCGGTGGTGGTGAACGGTGGCGTGGTGGCGAGCGGCGTTGCAGGTGGCGTGGTGGTGGTTGCAGGTGGCGCGGTGGTGGTAAACGGAGGCGTTGCAGGCGGCGCGGTGACCGGTGGCGATGGTGTGGCTGCGGTAGACGGCGCCGCCGGCGATGGTGGTGCGGAAGTTGCCGGCGGCTCCTGTGAGGATGTGACAGCGGGTGAAGTGGGATATCGGGCGAACGGTGGGGGGGGTAAAAGAGGCGGTGTAATGTACTCAATTAGAAACGGTGCGGCGGCGACATCCGAATCCCCCCCCTCGTCCGCCGGCGCCGGAATCTCCAGCGGCGAGGTCAGCAACGGTGCGCGGTCGGAAACCCACACGACGTTGTTCGTCATGCACACACGCCCCGTCGCGAACTTGAGGACCTTGGCCGCCGACTCGTGATGGATGTCGCCGTTGTTAAGGTATCAACACAGCACTGCCTGGGGATCCATCTTCCGCGCGCGCATCACACGCATGTACCCCGGCTGCAAGAACGGGACGATCTGGAGCGGGGGCGGGCGACCGG